TTATTACATGGTTTAACTATAACATGCTAAGCCACTGCATCATTGCATGGTTTAACTATAACATGCTAAGCCTCTGCATCATTACATGGTTTAACTATAACATGCTAAGGCACCATGATGAATGTGTGTTGTGATACGTTCGTCTGTGTGTAGGAGTTGCAGGAGATCTCGATGGATGACCGCAAGCAGAGACTCGAGACGAGTCAAACAGAGCTGGAAACCATCAACAAGCAAGCAGAGAAGTACAGCAGACGCATACAGAGTGAGTAACTCGCATTCAGTCCTTTAAAGGGACTGTGCGGTGCGTGCTAATTGAGTAACTAGCCTATGTTCAGCCATTTAAAAGTTTTTTTACCGTTTATGCTGAGAACCATAAATTGTAATTTTATTGCAATTTGTTTTTGGTATAAGCGAAATCTGTCACTTCTAAACTCTTCCCTCGATATGAAGTTTCTTTGATTAAAACATGCCATAATTGATCCATATCAAGGTATTACCAAGGGATTTGCGGGTGCTATGTCTTTGGTTGTATTGCCGTTTCAGTAGTATGATCAAATAGATTTGTTTCATAAATACCAATTGAGGTTGCCAATTACCTGCACACTTATGTGGGGACAATTTGCAATGCTTTTATTGAAAACTTAACTAATTACACTTCAGTCAGTGAAATACTAGTACAGTAATATTATGTGAAGAGTACAACATGTTACCCCAAAACGAAGGTTTGGACCCAATGCTGTGTTACGCGTGTTAACACATTGCTTTAGATGACTGTATACTACCCTCACTTCAGTCGGCCCTCAACATCCCCATTGAATTTCAGCATCATTAACTGCTTAGTATGTAGTTCAGTTAGGTTCTCCCGTCTATCAGTTAACACATGCTTGTACAGTGAAAATGATCTTTCCACATCCACGCTGGTGGTACGCTGCCATATTTGTTCCCTTGCTATATCATATGCGCTATGCTTGGAGTACGCACAGTCATCCCCCTCCAGTATAAATCTAAGTCAAATTCATTGGGATGCTCTTCTTTCGTGACCTTCACACACCGCGCGGACCCCGGCATCGTATTTATCGATCGCAAGCGGCCAGCGTAGAAAATCGCACAGTGTGTCCTAGGCTCCTAGTCCGTTAATTTTTACATCTTTTTTCAAGACTGAGTTTTTCGCTTTCTCTTCCCAAATTCACTTTGCGGAAAACTTCAGGGACCAGGCTTGTGTATGCTCTGGATTATAATGTGTGTGTTATGTACCTAGTGGGTGCTTCTGTGAAAGTAGTGCATAGTAGAAGACCCTAGGGGGCGCTGCAATTGTCATATCTCTTCGCCAGATCAACCAGATGGCGACAGCACCGGACTCGCAGAGACTCAAGCTCCTCAGGGAGGTGGCAGGCACTCGTGTTTACGATGAGCGCAAGCAAGAGAGTGAGTCCATCCTCAAGGAAACAGGCAAGTGTCCGATTGACTCCCCCCCGTGTGTGTGTGTGTGTGCGTGCATGTGTGCGTGCGTGCGTGCGTGCGTGCGTGCGTGCGTGTGTGTATATATATACAGTTTATAGTGCTGCCATTGTGGATGAGCTAGTGGCGATGAGGACAAATGCGCACATGATCAGCGGTCTGTACTGCAGAAATTCTCAAATTATCTGCAAGTAACAGCATTGCTATGATCCTTAGTTTTCAATCTGAAGCTACTGCCATCGAATGTGCAGTTCACACACGAATCGTTCATTGCTTGGCCTCCTCCTGTCTACCTGTCTCCGGTTCTCCTTCATTGCACCTGTGAGCTTGTTCTAGTTTCCGTCTACTGTCCTTTGTCTCTGTGCTCCTTCCCTTGGTGTGTGCCACCTATGATGAGCTAAAGGCGAATGTGAAGAGTGGAGTGGCCTCTGCGACTTATGTCTGCATTGACGGCAAATCTCGCTCTCAAGAGCACACTTTTAACGTACTGAGGTGGTACCCTCTAGTTGTGAGATAACTGACTGAGATGCTCGTCTCGGTGGCAACTAGACGAATGTGTTTGTTAAGGGCGTTTCCCCCCGTGTTTCTCTCGCAGAGAACAAAAGAGAAAAGATAGAGGAGCTGCTGAAGTACATTGATGAGCGACTCAACACGCTAGAGGACGAGAAGGAGGAGCTGAAGGAATACCAGAAGTGGGACAAGATGAGGAGGTGAGTGTTGTTCCTTGGCTGATGTCAAAGTAAAGTCAGGGTTCGTAGCGGGTCTTCCAAAGTCTTATAAGTACTTATTTTGCCAAAAATAAAATAAGGGCCCTTATTAGTACTTATTTTTGGTGAAATCTTAGAAAAGTACTTAATAGTACCTTATTTTCGCAGTAATTGGTTTTTATATATATGCGAATAATTAAATCTGCTGTGCAATGTATACAAACATTATTAGTGTACTTTAATAGGTCCGGTGATCTTTCAGAAATCAACGTAAGAAAAGTCTATTTTGGCCTCCAGAAAGGGTCTTAATAAGTCCTTTATTGTAACATGTGTCTTAACTACTAATAAGCCCTGAAGTGGCGTTTTAGTCCGACGATTGCAATCTCGTAGGGATCGTACGCGCTCTCGCGTCCAAAAGCAAGAAATCCACCCAATAATTTTTCCTTCTGCCGAGCAGTTGTTACGTCTTAAAATTCGGAAAGTACTTTGTTAGTGTAATGTATGTTGTGTTGACTTATTGCTCATTTCTCTTTCTGGCCAGGGCTTTGGAGTACACGCATACAGTGACATCCCGAGTGAGGAGACACCGCAAAAAATAGAAGGAAGGTTAGTAGATATTTTCTTGCTGTAGGGTGAAAAGGCGACAAGTACCTCTAGGATTTTACTGCATTACAACTGTACCTACTGTAGTAACAAGTCATCTATACCCACACGTATTTGTTACCGCAGAATACGACAATCCTAATTGTTATAGATTAATTACACATAACGCTAACGAACTTTTGAATCGGCGCCATACACCCCGACCGTGCGTGCGCGCCACCCATAAAAAGTTGCGTATTGACAATTATTTTGCCCATTACAGACCGATGCTAAGTCACAAAAGTGTCAATTATATCTTATACCCTACATGCTATTTAACCGAACGATAATTCATATTAGGGCAAATTTACTCCATATTATAACCGAAACTGTATGTCGGTTTATAAAGATATTAGCAATCCTTTTGCTTTTAAATGAATAAATAAAGAAACACCCGGTCTGTAAGCCCACGTTGCTGAGAAGTGGTTTTGCACAACTTATCAGGTTGTGCGCATTGAGTGGCCGCACTGGCACGTGCGTTGTAATCAAACTGTAGGTCGTTAGTTTTAAAACATTACAAAAAAACATACTCTAATGGTGATTGAACCATGAAACGTTTATGTAGCGTATATTATAAGCCTAGAATATAGCTTGAAAATAACCCTAGAACACAGATCAAAACTCTCCGTTTAATACAGTACACACTACTATTAATCTGAAACCCTTGGAACGCAGACACCGTTTCGGATTTCCGGAATGGTAGTACAGACAGATGTACATACCGTATACATGCAAGTACCGTCGGTACAGGTACCAATATGCTATGCAGCATAATGCCAAACACATTAATCATTCGTCGGGTCGAGTTGTTCGGCGGCCAAACGCGCGAGCTTTGTGTGCAGACAACATCCACGAAAAAACTTTCGTTTCGGCAGCTTTTCGTTTTCAGTAATTTTGGGTAGTATAGAATTGTGTACTATACTTGCCAGTTTGTGTAATAATGCGCATTGTGTCTACAAATGAGCGCAAAATCGATTAGATCCGTTTATTAACATCACTACTGTGTAAGAATTTATTTACCTCAACATGCACATGTACCCATTTCTGTTCGCAACGTATTATTGTCTGTAGACCCTGAATAGCTCCATCTGAGAGCCATTATATGCAATTAACCTCATGATGTGGTAACATTAATTTTAACAAAATGATTAAGCCCTTAATTCTTTACTCTCACGCCATGGCAGCTGGCAAAATAGTTTGTTAACTCCCTTGTTACATGTACTGTAGCCGCCGCACATCGAAAATGACCAGGCGACTCAGATCGGCATTATCCTTGTTACTACGTGTGCGACGCGGCTACAGTGAAAAAGTATCATGTAGGCTTCTCTTGACACACGCAAATGCGCGACTAGGCAATTAATTGGCCAAACTAAACTAGAAAATGCGCCCCGGCTGAAACCAGCCTACTACGCCCAGGAGAAACCGAATATACATAAAAGGGCGCCAGCCGAGCAAATCGCGCGACGAGGCAGTACATAATTCAGAACAACATAACAATGGGCACTGTCTACTCAACAATCTATCGGCATTACCTGGTGCCATGGGCGTAAACGATGTAACTGCTCGAGCCGAAAAGTGATGTGTCAATCAAGTGTTACCTGTGTACCCTGGGTAAATGCATTAACTTAATTCTGATAAACTGGGTAGTAGTTTAGTAAAAAATGCATTGACTTCATTCTTGGTTAAGGTGTAGCTCTGTAAAAATGCATTAACTTATTCTTGGTCTAACTGTGTAGCTTGGTGAGTAAGCGTGAACAACAAGGCGGCGAGCAAGCAGCAGCACATGCGCGACACACGCTTCAGGAATCTTCCGA